AATCGATTATATCAGACGTCTGCAAACACCCAGAGTTATCAAAACTATTACAATCAACCTTACCAGACGTATTCTAACCAACCTTATAGAGGCTACTTTGAACGGCCATATCAAAGATCGACGTATAGTCAGCCACACAGTAAGGCCTATATTAGACCTTACAAAAGACCCTACATCAGCTATAACTCAGCGCATTATTCCCCTTTTCAAAGGACTTACATCAAACCTTATATGGGACAATACAATAGACCATATAGAGGAAGCTACAATGTACCTGCTCGGAGTTCTTCTAGTAGGCTTTACATAAGACCCTTTAACACATCCAACAGAAACACCTATAACAGTGCCAAACAGAGAATGTATACTAACTATTATCAAAGGAATCCGAGCGTCCCCCAAAAAACAATCTATGGTGGCTCTAGTAGGCTTTACATAAGACCCTTTAACACATCCAACAGAAAGACCTCTAACACTTCTAAACAGAGAATGTATACTAACTATTACCAAAGGAATCCGAGCGTCCCCAATAAAACAATCTATAATGGCTCTAACCTGAATGCACATAGCATTCCAAGGAAAACTCCGTTTACCACTCAGAACAAGAAGGCAGATAACACTTCTAAGCAGCACTTTCATGATGGCAATCATAAGCGACCCGCTCAAACCAAACATAAGAAAATATAACCAAAGACCTCCCTATCTCAGGTTAAATTGAATTTACTTACCCCAATTATGCGGGGAAAGTTGTATTAAAACTATTTTTGAATAGTAATAAAAAACGGAATAATTTATAGAAACAAGAATAATTTTCAAATGTTAGGATCAAACTTCAGATGGAAAATATCTGCTTATAGAATCTGTGCATTTTTATTTGGAATAAGAGCTCACATTTAAATAACATTATAAAGCGATGTTTGCAACAAGACAAAAATTATATTATATAAATGAAAAGTGTTGGTCAATGCTGACGTTTCCTTTATGCATGCTTTAGTTTCAGGTTAGAAAGAAGTAGAACGAAGAAATGAAGGTTCTACAAAATGATAATTATTACAAAAAAAGTTGACTTATATACCGATGAATGTAAAGCGACTTAGTATAACTAAGAAAAATTTTGAATAGCCAGTATAACTTTCTCATGCCATATAAAACATTATATGAATATAAGACTAATAAAGTAACTGTTATTGACGAAAATGACAAGAAAATGTGGTATTTATTTGTTTAAGGCCTTCTCCCCCAGTATTACCCTTGCAAACTTCGGGTTTTAATTAATGATATACCACTAAAAAACACAAGTTCGTAGCTAGTCGAGCTACCTTTAGTTAAAGGGCTGTGTAATAGCTATGCTGCAAGGTTCATTTTGGTAACTATACCTATTACGCGTCCTTATTGGCTGTGGAACATGAGAAATTACTTGCAAATGACAAAATCTCAGTTTCGTCTTATACAATTAATATGTCTCCCAAGCATTATATCAAACGTTACTAACAACAAAACTGACTTTTGAAAAACTGTTAGGCTGAATCTAAGTTTTCAAAAACCACAATTGCAATCCGTTTCTATCTTCTTCAATTTGGCCCACCGTGCCTCCTTTCGTATTCGCTGTGCTACAGTCGACTTCCGGTATCTCGAACCCTCTATAACTCGAACCTCCCGCTAACTCGAAGCAATTTTCATTCCCCTTCAGATTATTTTCTATGTAATTTTACCCTCGATAACTCGAACTTTTTTCTATTTCCCTTTAAGGTTCGAAATCAGTCGGGAGTCGACTGTATCTGTCACTTCTTTGAATGGTTTTGAGCAATTATTTTGACTTATGTTTTGCTTACTTTGTTGGCCGTTCCCACTTTTTGAATTTTGACGTGTCAGCAAAACGCGGGGTCGAGGCCAAAGCCGGGGCTGGAAAAGATAGACTCCGACCCAGGCCCCTGCCCCGGCACTGACCCCGACTCCTACCCCGCGTTTTACTGACATATACCAAATTTCGTGACACAGCTCCAGCCTTTAAGCCAAAACAAGACTTGATGCGTAATCATTCAGTTTGAAAATAAGTTTTGTTTGCATATCGGGGAAAAAAAACTTGATTTCAAATTGAAGGGACGAGCACCAAAACTCACTTCGAAAACGATGCCAAAAATGATTCGAAATCAGTGACTCAACACTGGCTTTGATTTACGATTGATTTAATTCCCTGATTCTAACGTCTATAGTTGGGAATCTAGAAAATACAGAAAGAAACTGTCGAGAGACTATCCAGCAAAATAGAAACTATATCTGTGTCCAAAATTCATGGCTCCAAAAGGCAAGTTTTTTTTTCTGATAATCCTCTTTATTTTTACATTATGATATGACCAGATTTACTTCAGCCCAAAGCGGGACCAGGGAACCCTTCCATCATTAGACCCTCTAATGAAATGTAATTATTCTGTTCCATCAGAAATCACCGATTTTCTGCGCGCCTCATCACGAGCCACATCAACTTTCTCTAAATCTCTCTGCTGCTTCTCAAAAGGCCATTCAATTTCATAAACCTAGTAGCGGCTACAATATTGAAATGGGAACGGTTTAGAAATTGCTTTTTGTGCTCCTAAATGTTGGTGCCCTGCCTTTTTTAAGGTGGTGGTACACGAGACGATTCGCAACGAGGATTTTTAGCGCAACACAGAGTTGCAACGTTGTTGCGACATTGTTTCGAATCGTTACAACAATGTTCCTCGACCAGCTTTGCAACGCTGTGTTGCGCTACAACTCGTCGTTGCGAATCGTCCCGTGTAACATTACCTTTAAGTTAAGATTGTCATCTTCTTAAGTTCGGTCAAGATTATGTGCTATGGGCATAAAGAAATGTTGATGCCTCATTCACTCATCAGTCTTAAGACACTACTCTCCTCTTTGTGTCGTAAGAAGGCTGAGGCCTGCGAGGTTGCTATTTTCATTATTGCCATTTTTATTGGAATTATCGGCCATAAGGGAGACTCTACCGAGAGGATGCGGAGCAGAGAGGTATTAAAAAAAATGATTCTAGAAAAAACGAGAGCAGAGGTCTGTTGGAACCACTGCTGTCCTCACGACAGGTAACTGTTACCGCTTGTCAAGTTTCCCCTCTCCCCTGATTCAATGGTTTTTGGTTCTGTTATTGAAATTTTAAGTAAGACTGCTGGTAACCATCAATGTATATTGAGATAAATTCATTGAGGCCTTATTAGAACAAATGATTATTTGTTCAGCCCATCTCACGAGGAGATGATAACTATTTATGAAAGAATTAAGGGCGACAAAATATATATTTTCATTCGTCTAGGTAACAACTAAACAACTAAATCGCCCTTTATTAATAAAAAGTAACAAATTCGGAATTGAATTATAATAAGATGTTGTCGATTCTCATGTTATTAATCTCACTGGCAAATGCAAACTTTCATTTAGCTGTAAATAGTGAGATATTCTGATTTTAAGGACACTTTTTTCTCAAAGTACATGCTAGTTTCAAGGTAAAATCTCATTCCTACTAATTACCTTATAAGGCCCAAGAAAGACACATCGGTCTCGTAGCCACATGTCCTTAATGAAGTGACACAGCGGATACAGATTATCTTTAAAAGGTCTTAGAGGCAATTGCATAGGGGAAGACAGCGCGCGCGAGAACGGTTTAAAGGCGAGAGAGAATGTGGGTTACCAAGTGACAGAGCAATAATGTCTCCGAGAATGTCTCAATAATTTCTCTAAATTGTGATAGAAACTGTTAGCCTAAAACAACCAAAAGACCACTAGTCGTTATGCCTTTAGGATTAATTGCAGAAACATTTTAGGCGTTTGGGCTAAATAGAAATTAACTTTTATTTCTAACAGGGACCCATTCCTAGGTAATCTTTCTATTCAAAAAACTAAACATTCTTATATTACTTCGATTAGTTGTTACACATTGCCAATCACATAATCATCAAGAATAGTAAATACAGCGAAGCTTCCTGCGTCCGCTGTTTCAAATACGAAATTTTTTTCGTAAAACTTCTGCTTGCAAGCTGCTTGTTATACTACTTAGAGTATTTATTTAGGCGGACGGAAAGGAATCCAATAGTAAGGAGCAGTTCTTTCCTCTGGAACTTAAATTCGTTTATTATTAAACACTCGCCCGGAAGACAACTTATTTAAATTCGCAGAACTAAGAAAAAAGGGGCACAATCGCAGGTTACCAGTTAAAACATGTTACTAATTGTTTATAAACAGGTCGTGTAGTCGTTTGATGGAAAGGACAGTAGAAACTTTTAAAATATTAATTAAAAATGAGTCAAAACTTTTTTCTTGTTAACACCTTGGGATAACCTTGAACAATCAAATTGTTATCTCTTAAGGGACTTAAAACCCCCTAAAATAATGCTTTATCGAAGAAAATGTTTTGCATTCATGTCATGGATTTGCTTTATGTCCCTGAATTGTTTAGTCTATGGGAAATCAACAGATGGAAAGATTTTTCATAAACATATCAAAAAGGTCGAAGACAGCTCTGCTCATAAGAAATACACTCTTGAAAAGTCAACGCACGCCCACATAAAATCAAAAGGAAAATCAGACAGAGAAGGGCTCGACAATGGCGTACGAAAAGACTTTTTGAGTTCTTTGCAGGAATTTCCTGTTCCTGTTCAAATCGAACATCTTAAGGACCTCCCGGTTCCTGTTCCAGTAAAAAAGGAAGTAGGTGAAAATGTTTTACATGTGCACATCCATGATCGTAAGTACTTCTTCTTTTTATGTTTGTTTACNGAAGACAACTTATTTAAATTCGCAGAACTAAGAAAAAAGAGGCACAATCGCAGGTTACCAGTTAAAACATGTTACTAATTGTTTATAAACAGGTCGTGTAGTCGTTTGATGGAAAGGACAGTAGAAACTTTTAAAATATTAATTAAAAATGAGTCAAAACTTTTTTCTTGTTAACACCTTGGGATAACCTTGAACAATCAAATTGTTATCTCTTAAGGGACTTAAAACCCCCTAAAATAATGCTTTATCGAAGAAAATGTTTTGCATTCATGTCATGGATTTGCTTTATGTCCCTGAATTGTTTAGTCTATGGGAAATCAACAGATGGAAAGATTTTTCATAAACATATCAAAAAGGTCGAAGACAGCTCTGCTCATAAGAAATACACTCTTGAAAAGTCAACGCACGCCCACATAAAATCAAAAGGAAAATCAGACAGAGAAGGGCTCGACAATGGCGTACGAAAAGACTTTTTGAGTTCTTTGCAGGAATTTCCTGTTCCTGTTCAAATCGAACATCTTAAGGACCTCCCGGTTCCTGTTCCAGTAAAAAAGGAAGTAGGTGAAAATGTTTTACATGTGCACATCCATGATCGTAAGTACTTCTTCTTTTTATGTTTGTTTACTATTTATGTGATACTTTTAAGAGCAGCTGAAACGTAGTTTCTACATCTGGCCATGTAACCATTTCAGTGGCTGAAGTTTTTGGGTGAGATTGTCAGAAGTTCATTCCTTCGATCAAACATCAGGTTTAAATGTTGAGAAAGAAAGGTATTTAAAATCAGTGGTATAATTGAAAATTAGAAAATTCAATATGCTGGACGAAGACAAACCTTTCAAATGCTTAAAAGCTGAAGAGGGATGAAGTGATCTGCCATTGAAAATGAAGTGTGCTTCTTTATTATTGTTTATTGTTAACCATCTTGGCCAAAAACATGATAAATGGATAAAAACGTAAAACAGCACCATACAAGTAACAGATGTTCTTAATCTATTGTCATTTTTTGGTTTGTTAACCAGTTTTTCAGTTCCTTAGCAAAAGAGATAATTTTTCAGTGTGAGAGAAGGAAAAAGCACTGAGCGAGTAAAACGAATGTGTGTTTTAATTAAGTAGAAGCGTAACTATATCAGTCCGTCATGCTGTCTAGATTTCACAGACTTTTCTGCTTGACAAGGTGAGTTAAGTTGATTCATCATAATGTTATTTTATAATTTCTTTCCTTTTAAAGGAAATCCTTGCAGAAATGGAGGAGTTCTTTCACGGGATTTAGAAGGTTCCAGTTATCACTGTATTTGTCCCGCTGAATACGGAGGCACAACTTGCGAAAGTATGTTATGTTGTTTTTATACTGGGTATACGTGTAAATGTCATGAAAAATAACTGCTGCTAATCAGCCTCTGATGATGCAGTGAAAACTTTGTCAATGTCAAATAGAAAAAAATTGTAGAGAACAAGGAAACCTAAAAACGATAGATTAGATCCATTTGAAATTGTCAACAGTTTGAACTAATGCAATGAGACTATTAATAATACTCGCACTTATAATTAAAAAAAAAAATAAAGTGAGCCATTAAGCTATTACTATCTTATGTTCCGGGGTGTTGGGTTTTGTCCGGAAAATCCTTGATGTGTTCTCCCCACCATTATTCTTGCCCTGTGGCTTTATTCATTTGTCTTTATGTATAATGGTTATTCACAACGCGTCTTTGCTTTAAATTATCCCTTCATTTATACTCACGAATTTACTTGTTTGTCAATTATTTTTCAGTACAACATTACTGTTTTTCCAGACCTTGCAAAAACGGTGGTGCGTGTTTGGAGATAAGTGGCGGTTACAAGTGCAAATGTGCCCAAGGATTCACTGGAGACAACTGTGAAGGTAAGATACAAATAAGATAATTAGTGATTGGGTGATTAAGGTATGGTTAAGCGGGCAGTAAAAAAGGACAGATTGTTTTGCAAGATTGCCGGCTTCAAAACGAGTTTGATAGCGTATGTTGCGATTTTTCTCACTGTCTCGTAACAAATCAGGTTGTTGCAGGTTTCGAAATGTTATTGTAAAAGTAGGAAGTGGTGTACGTTTTGCAACGAAATCTTACCATGCTGCGCGTTTTAGTGGTCCAAGGCAACCTTGTTTTGCAGCAAGTGACGTAACCTTAGTGTATGGCGTGACTCCCGCGCGATTTTAACCAATCAGAGGTCAGTATTTAGGCAAATTGCAACAGTCTGATTTGTTTCTAGTTGCAAATAAATTTTCAGCTTTTTTTTTAGCAATGATGCAAAACAAGTCGCAAGCTCTTGTTACCAGTTTTGCCGTAGCGCAAATTTCATTTCTGCTAACATCTCCTACAGGTCGATTCGGAACTGTGCAACTTTGTTCGTCATTTTAAAGAAGCACAATTGTTATGAGGTCATGAGTGCCAGAGACTTTTCTAGCGCGGTTGTCGGTTTCTGTTTAGTCTTGAATAGTGACCCGCGTGGAAAGCGGCCGAAGATGTGTCGGCTTTCGGCCAACACCGAAAATTCCCGCCGCTCGCGAGAAAAACCTGTGGTACCCAGGGTAGTTATGGGGACAATTAAGCCTCAAAGTCGGTTGACGTCAAAGGACTGTGGCAGGCCATCACAAGCCACATTTTGATGTAAATAAATTTCGAAATACATAAAACAGTTAAGATTTAGGGGCGACGGTTATGGTACGGTTGAAAGTTTAAGTTGCACTTTACATACGAGATTTATTATTTAGCACTAAAAAAGCTGTAATTTATTTCATTTTTAAGAGGAATTATTTTGTATTCCAAATCCATGCGATCACGATGGAAAATGTGTGGAGACAATTCAGGGCTATCGATGTGTTTGTCAAGCTGGATTCAAAGGAGAACAATGTGCAGGTAAGAGCAAAGTCACCCAAATTGTTTTTAAACATTTTACTTAGGTAGAATGTTGTGTGGATTATATAGAGCGTTTTCACTCATCTGGCCTGATGAGCATCTATGTAAATTTTTCTTACACTCTTTGTTTGACTTTTAGATATTGACCCATGCTATCCAAACCCTTGTCAACAAGGAGGCCAATGTGAAGATATACATGGACATGCCGTCTGCCGATGTCATCCTGGGTATCACGGACCTTATTGTCAAGGTACTAGGGTCGCTCACATTAGAGACCTTTAGAGAGATTTAACTTAAAGTTTTTCCGCTTTTTCTCAAAAACACAAAAAGACACTCTCTGAAACCTTCATTTTTTGCTTTTTTTTTCACCAAAAAAGTTAGTACGGTTATTTATACTGAAGGAGGTTAAGCTCTCTCTCGATGGCAAAATGATAGAAGTCGTTACATTTGACAACTTGTTCCACTATGACATTCTCGCTGAAACTCGTTGTAGAATGAGACGGCTATCGCGTTTTCCCGCCGAATTAATCATGACGCTGGCTCGGCTCACGCGCGTGCATTACTTAGTTTTGAGAAAATCTCGTACCCGTAGTCGGTCGTCCTCTTCCTCGAATCTAAAGCTCTCTATTAACATGGGCCAACTTTCATTGCAGATCAAAAAATATTCATCCTTTGACTAGCTAAGGCTTCGTTTTTATGAATTCCCTGCTTGAAGGGTCACTCTTGAGTTCTACCCTAGCTAGCCTGAGCTTATAATCTTTCCTACCTTACAAAACTTGGCGAACCATTTAAATGACCATGAGAAACACAAAGTTGGCTCAGCTAGAAACGTGACTCACCTAACCAGGTCAACCTGTTTCGATGGATAGGGTCACCCTTCTAGCCTGGCCAAAGCCTGGCCAACTTTTCTCTATATAAACACTTTGGCTGACGACCCACCGGGTTAACTCAGTCAAGGCGAGATAATCATCCTCAGAGCTTGCTCGAGCGCTGTTGGTTCAGGCAAAGAGATCAAAATTACATAAGCTTGCTACAACTTTCCTCCATACAAAAGGGGCCTTAGTGAAAAAGACAGTATCATTTTCTTTCTTGACAATGTTGGTGCCTACATCTGTAAAAAAAGCAAAGGTACTTTGTGCATGTTGCCTTATAAATGAAATATTCTTTCACCATTAAATAAGTCATTGTTGTGTAGTTTTTTAAGATTATGTTTTGAAAAGATACACATTACATTTGTGCTTCAGAGGAAACCTTACTATTATTTTGCACACACTATACAGTATTTATCTTGGAGTCCGTTCCCTGATGTACGTCGTTGCGATTTATTGTTTCGATCTTTATGAAATAAAAAAAGGAAGACCTCAAAGGTTTATTCAATATTATACCTCAAAGTCGTAAGTCTGTCAATGCTTTTTATTTCAGACAAATACGTCTGTTATGTAAATCCTTGTTATAATAGAGGAGTATGTGTAGAGAACTCTTTAGCCCCTTGCCACTGTGCCAGAGGATATGTGGGGACATTCTGCCATGGTAAGAGTGCGGTTAAGGTATTTTTACATAAGTCAATCTTAACTGTTCGGTAAAATTATGTATTTATGTTGCCTGCTTATAACTGACTAAGTTAGTTAGCCAAGCGTTAAACTTCCTGTTAAGCAAATTAGCGGTGATGGAATATCGAGCATTATACAGGGAGTTGTTTTGTTATTGTATCTTTATGATCTTGGCCATGAACGATCATATGTCTAGATCTGGTTGATGAATAATGGAGCAAACACTTACTGCTTTCTGATCATTTTCCTTACGGACCTCTCTGTTGCAACTGTTACGACGACCAGACCTCAGTTGTTCAATAGATGGATAATGATAAATTTATATACAAAGCCTTACGAAATTTGTTTCCCCAATACTTAATCGCTGAACAGTGATTTACTGGGTGGATAGCGCTATCCTACAATTGAGCTCTATTCGCAAGGATGCCAAATTCTCAAGGGGCCAAACTCTTAACAATTGCCTTCTTTCTGATACTGACACCTCCGTATTGCAGTCACTTAATCTCTCCTTTGATGTTTGATGCTATAATTGGTTTTAAATAGAAAGTGTGGATCCTAATTTTGAGGTATCAATAAGGCATGTCCATAGGTTATTTTAAATAGAGTCCAGGATTCTACATGAAATACCTGCATAAAAGCTAATGACCCAGGAAAGTTCGTAATAAATAGGAAAATATAAGACCAAACAAAGACTTAACCACTGGAGTCGCCTATTAGATCTTTTTAAAAGTCTTTTTATTCTTACATTGTAGATCATGTATGCAAACCCAATCCGTGTCTCCACGGTGGTTATTGTAGTGTAGTCAATCATCCATTGGGTTCCCATAACAACAGATGGACATTTCACTGCAAATGTCCTGAATACTATAGAGGACGCATTTGTCAATGTAAGTAAACTTTCATCAAAACCCGAAACGTTGTTACCCAAAACACCATTGCACGAATTTGTTGGAAGAGGCATATATATATAAAAGCATTGAAGCTTAAAAAGATAAGGGACCTACCTGAGCTAGATGTATGCCAAAGGAAAGGCATATCTATTTGATCACCATCATGGCTTCTCACTTAATAATGGGGTGATCGCAGTGACTCACACGTCTTTTTGGCTCCGCTTCGGGAAACATTGAGATTCCAGGGGAAACAAAATGTACTGTTTCGTTCGGGATCAGTCATGAAGTGTTTTTTAATTTCACCGGCCAGCTAGATTCAAAAGTTAGTTTTGGTCACCAGTTCGTTAACAGTTAGTTTCATTTGGTTTCATACTAGGAGTATTTTAAGCCTTAAAGAAAGCTTCGGACGACTAAAGGCTACCACAAATCTTTATTTTGCCCAGTATTCGGGTGCGTCAATTATCAACGGCTCTCCCCTTGAACTGAAACTGCTAACCTTATTTTCTCGATCACTAAGGTTTTGGGTAAATATTCTTCCACATCTAATGTAAAGCATATTTGATAGTGCTACAGAAATAAGTCACCTGCTTGCCAGATTTTTTTTAAAATCTGCCTAACTGTGACACGGTTTATAAAGTAAAGAAACAGTATCTTATTTCAAAAACGCCAAAATTCCTTTCATTTCCTTTTGCACCACTTAGGCCTTTTAAACAGGTCCTTGTGGACTCCGAGAAAAACACTTCTATCAACTAACGATCGTATGTCTCGATTTAAATCATCAGTACCCCATCCTTGTATCGATCACCCATGCCTCAATGGAGGTACCTGCGAGGACGCGTTTTATGACTGGCACGAGGGTCGAGATCAACACATTTATAATGACATGGCCTTGTCTTCCGTAAGTCTGGAATATTACTGCATCTGCCCACCGGGATTCAAAGGGTCGCGGTGTGAGAGTAAGTGAGACCGATAACTGGTAAAAAAGTTTTATTTGAAAAAGTGGTTACATTTAAGCATCAGATATAAAAGAATACGGCAAACTTCTGCGTGAGAATTACCCCTCGAGTTTTAGAGGAGGAAATTTCACGCAGGGGTGAGAGCACTCGCCTCCCACCCGTGTGTGTCGGGTTCAAACCCTGGCATCGACGCCACAATAAAGTGGGTTGCGTTTGTTGTTAATTCTCTCCCCTGCCCTGAGAGGTCTTTCTCCCGATTCTCCGGTTTTTCCAACATTTCCAAATTCCAATTCGATCTGGAGAGTACGGATACGTTTAAAAGAGTCCGCGAGAACTCCTAACCAAATAATAACCAAACAATGGTTGTTTATTTTCAGCTGATATTTGTTCTTTGTGCCATCCTGAAGCCCTCTGCATTGATAATCATTGTGTTTGTAAGCCTCATTTCATCGGAGATGGGTATCACTGTAAAAGTAAGTACAACATTACTATTTCCCAAACTTTCTATCAATCAGTCCTCGAGCTTGCTGTTTTAATCCTGAACCAAGGCTCTGTTATCAGTATAGTAGGGACAAAATTCACCTGCTTTCACGGAAAAGAATCTCATCGTCAAGGGCACGTCATTGACGCTGATGCAATCTTAAATTTGGAAAAGAATACAGGGAGGTCACATAACTTCTCAGTTTTAGGATTAAAATGCCCTCAACTCATACCTAACCGACAATTGCCCAACCTTCTTCACCATCTTTATATAAAACTACCTTTGACAAAGTATATAAAAATTGTAGCTGTCTGTACTGCTTGTCCAACCGTAATGGCTAAGAATTTGCATTTTTTTATTTTTAATTTGTTTTTTAATCGATTTCAATCGCTTTTTGCCTTTGAAATGTGAAAATCCCTCTGCTAATGATTGGCATATTATACAATGACCTATTGAATTATATCTTTCAAATCGCGTTATGTTGATTTGGAAAAAAAAAGGAATAGATTTTGTTCAGTGTTTAAAGAGGTATGGCAGTGACTACTACCTTTCAGTTTGCGTCCGTATATAGTGTGGACCTCTGATAAGGGATATGCCGCGATAATTGACTTAATGCCATCAACTGACGTGATACAACTCGCTTTGACTCTGAAGATGACTACCGCACAGGTTGTCGAAACGTCAGTCACTGTCAACAACAACAGTCCTATTCAGGACTACGTTCACCCGGACGATCAAACTCAACCTACTTTTGAAATGACTCCTGGGTTCAAACCTTTCACAGTAATACTCTTATTGTTATACAGATGTATCCAGCCATTGCCATCCAAACCCCTGTTACCACGGTAATTGTGTTGAAGGTCCTGATGGAACCTATGATTGTGAATGCCATCCGGGGTATTGCGGACCTCAATGTAAAGGTATAACTGCTTTAGGGACAATAACACAAACGCCTTTTTTGTTACTTTTGTTACTAAATCTTTGTTACTTTTATTAGACAGAGGGGTTTACTGGTATGGATATTCCTTACTTCTTTTTGTTTCCAAATTTGACTGCATTCCATTCTGGCATGCGCAGTGAGTCATAATTTATATTCATGACGCAATCCACAGATATCTGCAGACCCTGCTTGATCTGGCCATGTTCCAATGGGGGACGCTGTATTCCAGTTGGAGAGAAACGTAGATGTATATGTGACCCGCCATACGAACCACCAGATTGCAACGGTAATTAAACAAATTGCTTTTGACTCTGTTACATTATCAGCATCAGTAGCTTAGTTTTCATTTCCTCGCGAACTGAATTCAAAATTTCTTTCTAAGAAATTCTGTAAGTATACCTCCATGTAATCGCGTGGAATACGTTAGTGATAAAGCGACTTGAGTTTAACACAGTATGGTTTCCTTGTACCATAATTAGATACCATCCATTTTTGACTGTATTTAATCCATCAGCACCACATTGTTCATTGTACAGTGATCGACAACAACAAAAGTAATCATAAACACAACTCGTGTATGGCCGAGTGAGATTCCTGTTTTATTGCTTTTGAGTCGATTATTATTTTTCTTGTCATGTATTTTCCTTTGTTTTTTTGTTTGTAGCATATATAATGTACTCAGCCTTATAAGTACCGGACTAAAAAGGGTTGTTAACGCGTTGCCTGAATACTCACTAGGCTATGGATTACTAGGGACTATGGAAGGATTTGCATGTATAGGTAATAATACCTGCTTGGTATTGTATTGTTTCAGTTACCAGACCCGATCTGTGCAATCCGAACCCTTGTAAAAATGGCGGGAAGTGCAAAATGCTTCTGGAGAAAAATGATTATATTTGTGAAGACTGTCTTGGAATGTTTACAGGAAAGGACTGCTCTGGTTAGTAGTCTTTTTGTATATTTATTATTTGTTTGTCTGTTTACTTGAAGTTGAGATTTTTCACAAGCTAGTTTTCCAAAGAAAGTAGACGAGTTTAAAGTAAAGAAATATAGTCAGAAAACTGAACTGGTGACTTCGTCTCGCGCTTGCATAACTGCGGAATTCTCCTAACACCCTCTCGTGTTTATATCAGGCTATGCAAACACAAATAACATTTTCTATTGCTAAAATGTTATCTCTTTCCTCCAGAATGTGGTTGTCCTAAAGCAAAGCCAGTGGCGGATGCACGAGTCGTAGACTTTATTTGCGATCCAGTTGACGGGGGATGCAAGTGCCCAGAAATAGAGAACGGAAGATATACACGTACAGAGGACGGTTGCGTGCTAGGTGGTAAGTGTTACCCAAAAGGAAAGTTATTGTCATGAACAATTTTTGGATAAAAATGTATGACAGCCGCCCCCTCATCCCCTAGATTATTGGTGACTGCCATCCAGGAGGTAGTCTCGTTCTTCAAGGAAATAAGGTTTAATTTCCGATCAAAATGAAGATTACTAAGGTCAATAAGGACGACTGCCTGCCAGGTGATGATAATGACCCTGTTTATACACATCCAAGAGAAACCAATGAAAATAGTTTCTACACGCAAATGAAGTTGTGTCAGTAGGGAACTTAAGAACTACGACGAAGTTCACGACGACGACGTCTGTTGACTGAGAAAGGACTGGAACGAGAACGTCAGTTTCGGCGGGAAAAAGGAAACTTAAGATGCAGTCGATCGGGTAGGTCGACGACGACGACACTGAATGTAAACAAACATGTAGAAGTAGTACAACTGTGATGTTCGTTCGCAACAAAGTTTTTTCGCAAAGGCGTCTTTTAAGACGATGCAAGATCTTATTTTATAAGCCGTACGTCTACTTTCATTGACGATGAAGAATTTTTAGTGTCGTCTGACCTTTTCGAATGGAAAAATCTCTGCTTTCCGTACGAAGGTTATTCAACTTTCAACCTGAATGACATGACCGAGTCCGAGTGTCTGTCAGAGTTTAGATTTGGAAAAAGAGACATTCCGATGCGATAGCTGTTTTCCATATAAAGTTAATTTCCTCTATTTTAAAGCCATATGATTTTAAATAGGTGCAAATAAATTTATCACTTACGAGTTCGCTCGCTCGGCCTGCACAGCTCAGTGTTGTCTTCGAAGTAAACACAATTCATCAGTCAAATTTTCAATCAACATCGCTTGTTAGCAGAAAAAAGAAAGGATACCTGGATTTACGAGGTGAAAAAAATACAAAGCCCTTGAAAAATCGCTTAAAAACAGGGAGTTATACCTGCCGAAGCTTGTGGACTGCAGGACGACGTGACTCTACTGTGTTTGGCGTCGTCGACGACACCACGACGACGAAATTTGTTAACCGCGCTTGCGCAGTGCACAGTATCTCACTTCCGGTCGTCGTCGACAAAGTCGTCGTCGTGGTTCTTAAGTTCCCTAGTATAAGCTAACAAACGGCATAAGAAATGCTCGAGCCAAAGAGTTCTCACCATCCATGTTTAAACTACTGAGTGAAAGAATTACTACTAGCCTGCTTAGCAGGCGTCGAAAAGGGAAGAGGACAGGCTAGGGAGGAAGGAAAAGAAGGGGGAAAAGGAGCACGCAGGTTAAATTACGACCTATACCTTTATTAGACAGGTTTACTTAAAAGTATGTTCTTTTTTTGTTTCTTATATAGTCGCTAATCCTTGTAGTCCAAATCCATGTAAAAGAGGCACATGTACAGTGCAACCTACTACTCCACCTACATTCACTTGCGAAAATTGTCCGCCTCCTTACTATGGCCGGCTATGTGATTGTAAGTATAGTTGTATAGCTATAGTCTATTTAACAAATCAACAATTTTGCATGGTCTGTAGTTTTGAACATTTAGACGTCTTCTCTAATCCAAATTTTACAATAACAGTGACAAATTTTACGTCCATTTCTGTTGATATTTCACGGAAAATCGTGCGCGCACACGAGAAACAGAAAAAAAGAAATCGCACCACCATCAGGTCACTTCCATGGTTCGCATTCTTATATCGAACCTAGCTCTCGACCAATCATCGCCCGAGAAATCGCTTAGTTTATTGTTAAATTCCTCGTAGATTGCAAAATAATGTCTTTTATTCATTTACTCTAAAACACTAGGTACCACGTGTACTTGCGACAACCCTTGCAAAAATGGTGCCACTTGTCTGGACACAGGAACCAGACAATACAAGTGTGTCTGCCCTCCCGGTTACACTGGAGCTACCTGCTCATGTAAGTATGATAATACCAAGTAAAGGCACTTAAACAAATCCAGGACTGTCGTCCTAGATGGTTAAGTTCAAGCCAGAAGATTAAGACAAATTTTAAGCAAGGTTGTCTTGTTTAGGATCATGTCACTCGAACTCACAAAATATTTTTGTGTCTTTACTTCGAGATTTAGTGATGATAACATAGAATTTTCGTCTCTGAGCAATGACTGAAAGGTAAATACAAAATGGGAAAAAATCATGGATTAGCAATTATGGGCCTTTCAGGAACCGGGGACAGGTTCCAATTAACTTTATGAGCTGCCCGATTCCTTTAATCTTTTATTCAACTTTTTCATTTCCTTCAACTTTATTTATTAAAAATGATTTTGGCCCGCAAATAGCAATTTTTAATTTAGGCAGCTAGAGCACTGACAGGGAGTGATATTTTAAACTTTAATTCAGTATTGGGTGTGATTAAAGTTATAAAAAGAAAGGATATGCATAATTTGCAGTGCCTGTGACGAAACCCGACAAACATTGCCTTTATGCCAAATGTGAACATGGAGCCACATGTGTGGAGCGACCTCACGGATACGACTGCATCTGCCCTCCTCAGTACACTGGACCTCATTGTGGAAGTAAGTTCCCCTATATTTTTGAGACAATTCCTGTAAATAATAATTATTTCTGTACTTAACAAGTATCATTTTCTTGTCACCAATGGAAGCCTCTTAACATTAAATAGTTGGCTGGAAAGGAAACTATAGTAAGAATTTTTGCCAGGAAGAGGGCCAATTATAATAAACTCGATAAAACCAAGAGTAACAACAACAGCAGCATTTGGAATTGGTAAATCGTAAGCAGACGTACATTTGTCTAAATCTTACAACAAACTATATGAGGCATTTCTTAAATCCCTATATAACAAGACATTTTATTAAAATCAGTGTTGAGGAAACTACAGTGAAAGTTACTCCTTTAAATTTTTTTTACCGAAAACAGATTGTCTTCTTTTTCTAAGGAAAGGCTGCATTACTTCCTGTTTTATTTCATTCGCAGTTGATAAATGTGCTAATTGTGACATAAATGCCGACTGTATTTATGGACGATGTCGCTGCAGAAAAGGGTATATTGGTACTGGATATGTTTGTGAAAAGAGTAAGTAAAAGCTACTGTAACGTTACAATTCATAAGCCCATCTTGTTCTCTCTAAAGGCGGAATAATACGTTCGCCGGGCACTACAATGATATGACCAATCACCTCTAAGTAGTTACTAAAAGATATCATAGATTATTGATAGAGTTGGTCTCTTTGATGATTTTGGAAAGTCAATGACCAAAGATTAAAAATCCAGCGTGTTTCTATTCACTTGCATTGTTTTAAAAAATCTATATCTTTTTCATGAATGCTTGCTCTTTACCTTGTAATTGAAATTTGGAAAACAAGTTATAGTCTCTAAAGGTATAAGATTTGCTAGTATAGTAGCTTTCGACTGTATCCTGTATATCAGCGTCCAACCCTAAATAGAGATGGGGTCCCCGCGATCTTTAATCATTTTCGTCACGTGACTAATTCACGCGAAAGCTACAATAGAGCGGTTTTCATTTGAGTGTCGAAAAGTAATTGGTTTTGCACTTTCTACACGATGCGATTGGCTTAAAAGATTCGCGCCACCTTTTCATCCAATCAGAAGTAAAACCAAAGCCAATTGTGACGCGCTCGCATGCATTTTCCCGCGCTTTGCGTCAGCCACATGTAATTACTTCGAGTTTTGATTGGTTCAATGTATT